GGATTTAAAAGATTCAGGTTCAGACTCCAGCCCTGCTGTAGGCTTTCTACATTACCCTTGGTAAGTTACTGGAACAGATGGTCTGAAAACTGCCAAATTGATCTTTCATCAGAAAGCCTGATGTATTGAAAGTGGAATAACAGTGTACTGATTACAGCAAGAATGTGGTTTCTGGTTTGAATGAGTGTGTGTGTGTGCTCTTTCCTACACATGCAGTTTACTCAAAAATCGTGTGGTTGGGCATTTGCTGAGAAGGTCCCAGGTGAAACTCCCTTCTGCTTGACTATGACTGTAGATTTGAACCTGTTTTGGGGGTAGCACCTGAACGAGGCAGGTCTCGGCTCTCCTGAGCAGAGGTAACATTGATGTCGTCTTTCCCTTCTCAAAGGATCTTGATTTCTCTTTGCTGCAGCGTGGGAAGGATTTGGAGAGATCAGACTACTTTGTATAACAGGAAAAGCAATTTTTCCTTTGAGCTTTGTGAACTATTTAACGTCTCAGAGGTTCTATGTCCAAACTGTAAAATGAAAAGGAGAGGGATTTTTTTTGTTTGTTTATTGTCTTTGTCTTATGTGTTTGGACCGTCTCTGGGACAGAGACATTTCTGTATGCACAGTATCACTTGTAATATCATGCTGATTCGTTATTATCCTTTTACTGTATTATAAAGAATCAACACCAGGACCAAATATTTGCCAAATATTGTCCTCTTTCAGAAAAACATTTATAGTGAGTTGATGTTCAAATGTTAAACTGTTTCCATCTCCAGCACAAAATAGTCATTCATAATTCTGTAGGAATCTTCAAGTTTTTGTATTTTGGGCGTTATGCTGCGTTTTGTGAGCCATGTGACTATTTCTGGAACTTTGTAAAGGGTGGCTGAAACGTGGCTCCCGTACAGCAGATCTGCCAGCACGCGTGGAGCGGGTCAGCCCTGCCACCGCCTTGCCGGCACGGAGCAGTGAGACACAAGGACGTGCCTGGAGGCACCTAGCAGACGCTGCCAGAGCCAGGGATGGGTCCAGAGCGCTTCAGTTCAACTCCGCTGCTCCAGAGCGAAGGTTAAGTGTGAAAGAGAGACCAGTGCCAAGTCCAGCTAAGGTGTCAGGAGGCAGCAGTTGCAATAGGAGCTGTAGGGGCTACTTTGCCCCTGGATTATCTGCCTTGAACAATTTTTCTTGGAAAATGCCCTGTGTATAGATTAGAGATTTAACTTTGAACGTGAAGAACTTTCTGGCGGCTCTGTGCTTGCTGGTGTTGCCTACCCTGAGAAACATATCCCAAGAAGGCAGGTGAGGGAAGCAGCCAAGCGAAATAAATACGGTGGTATACGCTAGCATTGCTCTGGGAGTGGGGATAAGCGCAAACTGAAGGGAGAGAGGAGTACAGCAATGGAAATGAGAGAGGAGAAGCAATCGGCTGGAAAGGCAGATCCAGGGTAAGAAAAATTTAAAGCAAGAAGCCCATCTGCACACTGCAGAGAAACACGGCCGGTGTCTGGGACGTTCAGTAAGTCAGCAGGTCTCCTGGGTCCTTCCTCCACTGCCCCAGGCTGCATGGCAAGGAGGAGAGTAGGCACTGCCACGGGCATAGGTCTCCTCTGTATGCCAGGACATAAGTTTTGCCTGTGTCTGCACCTAGGGGTGATTTTGCACAGCTGTCTGCTCTGGTGGTGGCAGCTGCTGCTCACTGTGGGCTGTCAATCTGTTCGTGCTTTTAGAGTCAGATTTCCAGAGCCAGAGCAGCCTTGGTGGCATCACGAGATCTTTCTCTGTGTTGCATGCATGGCATGAGGTGGGTGAACCCTGGGAAGAGGAAGGCATTTACTTCACAGGTCTGAGGAAACTGCCTTGTTTTGAGCCTTTTGTCATTGTGAGTTTGTGACTTCTCATGGATAACACCCAGAGACTATTCTTACTTTTCATACCTTTTCCAGATATAGCTTAATGTCAGATAGGCAGGTGAGAAAGGGGACTGTTGTGTGCAAGCTCTGCTCAACAAAACAGCCTTTCTCAAAACACACTTCCTAAACTGGTGACTACTGTCTAACCAACTACTCTAGCTCTAAAGGTTGGAGTAAGATGAGACTGGTTTTCCCTCCTAGGCTGTCATTCATAAAATATAACAGGCAAAGCTTGACTTATAGTTGGAGAATATCACTGAATGCTAATAATGATGATGGGATAGGATCTGGAAATTTTCTCCCCCTTGACACAACCACATTCTGTCTATGCATACATTGAATTTTGCTTCCACTTTCATTCCTTTCCTCCTTCCATTTATTTCTCTCTGGTTTGGGGAAATGGATTGATCTGCTGTTTCCAGGTTGTCCTCAGTAACTATGTAAGCCTCCCTCAAATGCTGATGGATACAAGAATCTGTTAAAAAGGACTTTGTTCCTTACAGGGAAATTTAAGAAGAGGAGATGTCTAACCTCGTACAGGCTTGAAAATAAACACAAAGTAACTAGAATTTCTTACTTTGTTAAAGAAATATCGAAGAAAAACATTTCCAGGTTTTACTTTTTTAGGGGAATGTGGAGACTTCCTTCCCTTCACCAAAAGAAGAGAAGGGCATGATTGATTTTTGTCTCTGCTCATCACTAATAAGCATTCCTAAATGGTAACAAATAGCCTAATAATATGGTTATACCTTTTTTTTGGTGTTGTTTAAAATGATTTTCTTCCCAGTAAATGGATTACAAAACTTGTATTAATGAATGTGTTAAATCTTACCAATAGCACAAAAAAAAGTGAGCCCGCATTTGCAGTATTGAATGCCCTTATCAAAAAGACATTTGCGATCTTTATGCAAAGATCTGTCATTTCACATGACCATGAGATCAGAATAGGCTTTGAAATCTTGTCGTGTACATACTAACACGTACTTTCTATATTTGATTTTTTTAACCTCTAGAACTCACGGAATTATGGAATGTTTACATAATATCATAATTCCCGAGACCCCTAAGCTTCACTAGCAGGTGTTGAACACTGATTTTGTATAAATGCTCCTCAACAAGATGGACCAATGCATGTGTATCGTTATATATCATTTCATGGGGAGGGATTCATAAATAGCTGATCTTTGGTATAAAATTAGTAGCTAGGAATGGTTTTGAGGTGTAACTTTGAGACTAGGTTGTATGTATGAAAAACGTTTTTAAGATCAAAAGACTAGCTATTAGTAAGACAAGATGAAAAATGTTTTTGCCCTGCTAGCTGACCTCCGTAGATCAAGGCTAGTTTTCTGCAGAGAGGTGCTAGCAGGAAGGAGAAAGGGTTATGCAACTTGTTGTTTTAATTTGCATATTTATTCAAGTGCGTCTTCCCAGTGACCTCCTGAAAGTAGTGCAGTCTCAAATGACAGCACTTTCGCTGTCACTGATGTCTGCCAGAGTATCAGGCTGCCTGGTTCAGGAAAGGGGAAGAGCCAGACTGAGTTCCTGTCGATATGAAAGCAGTCTGTGGACTAGAGAAAAAGCTTCCTGCAGGACTCGAAACCAGCATGTTTTTATATATATCTTTAATTTCATGGATCAGTGAGGAGGGACTGAAAGAGGTGGGAAATGACCCAGGTATTAGCAGGGATCTGAGTCTGGCCTTTGTGACTGTGAAAACTTTTTGTGTGCTCAAGCCAAAGCTCTTGAGATTTGTCCATCGTTGCTGAGAATTTCTATTTTTGTGTATAGCCAAAGTGGAAACGTCCCGTCTGTCACTCTAGCAAATTACTGATTAAGTACCTGTGCACTGAAGGGGAACAGAATAACTCTGAGTGAATAGTAAAGAACAAGTAACTAAGCCCAGAATGAGAATCAGAACTGACTTCAGCTCTTGTGTGTGTAATATACCTTGCACAATTTCAAAGTAAGTTAAAAATATTTGCATTTCAGTTTTCCTGTCTCTAGCCACTGCCATTAAATGAGGCATGCTGCTGCTTCATGATAAGTCAAGATTCCTAAGGAATTATGTTTTAAGTACTTTTGCGTCCTTAGAAATTGTGGAGAGGTTGTTCTTGATACAGAGGCTGCTTATAATATGATGCAGAAGCAATTATCGGGTTTCACATTCATTAACAGCTTACAAGACCCAGTGGTCGCTACCTGTTTGCCGATGGATTGTCTGCAGGCTGAGATTTGCCATAAGGATGACCATCTCTTTAATAGCAATGTGTGATTTTTACTATGTTCTTAAATATAGATTGCCTCAGGTGTACTAAAAAATAGGCAGCGGTGTTACATCATGCCAGATGAATATTTGAGAAATACTTATTTGAGAACTTATATTGAGAATTTGAGAAACTCTTATTCAATTCTAAAATATTCTGGCTCAGCTGAACCTAATTAAATTTTGATTTAAAAGAAAATGCACAATGCATTTACCTGAACCGGAAGGAGTATAAAGCAATAAATAGATGAACTAAATACAAATTTGGGAAGAAATTGTGATATAGACTTGCTAGCTGTACAGAATATTTTTATGAAAACTGAATTTTTGTTAGTTTTTTTGGTTTTACTTAAAGGTGCTTAGGGACTAGAAACTTCTAGTAGGCAAGCAAAATGTCTCTTCTGGAGAAATAATACTCAGCCTTAGACGTAGTAGCAAGTGGAGTACAGGTAGACGGTTAGGATCAAGGGAGAAAGTTTATTCCTTTCTCCTCCTTTTCCCTTGTAAAAATATATGCTTTTTATAGAATCAAATTATTATTATCCTGTATTGTAGAGAGAACTTTTGGTATCCTTTTAATAAATGAATTTAATGACAGAACAGATCTAGATAAGTTATGAATATTTATGTTCAGCAGTTTCTTCCTAAGGGTAGTGAGTTTTGGTGAACTAAATGATTTAGACTTCTAAATGTTGATAGTACTATCTTATTTTCAAAAGAAATCTTGCCATATAAACATGCTTTCTGACTTGTTTTGTCCCTGATGTCCTTGTCAACCAGATCTCAAATGCGAAACCCAGAAAGATCCCTCAACATCTTTCCCTCTCCGTTTAGATTACCAGCGACTAATGACGGTAGCAGAAGGGATCACCACGCTCCTCACGTGTACGTCCCCCTCCTCCCCGCCTCTCTCCTGCACTTTCTGGATGCTCCCGTGCCCTACCTGATGGGCCTGCAGTCCAAGGAGGGAACCGACCGCTCCAAGCTGGAGCTTCCCCAGGAGGTAGGTCCTGCCTGTGGTGCTCAGCCTTTGCTCTTCCTGCCCTGAAGTACCCATGTTACTAAAATTTATGTGAATCCCTACTGGAAAGTGCAATGTCCTGTGTTGTGAAGCTTCCCTGGCACCGATAAATCTGTTTGCAGAGCTCTAGACCACAGTGTTTCCCATCGGGAGTGAGGGAGGGGGAGACGTCCCTGCAGTGTTTCTGGATGTGTTTCTGGATTTAGTGAGGGCTGCTAATTACATTGACTTCTAAATGCTTCCTCTTGTGTCATTAAAGTTTCTCTACTTTCTTTCCATCACACACTTACATATTGTGTTACTCCTTGTCAATGTCAGTCCTATCGGCAGAGGACTAAAGATTATTTCATTTGGGGATGGTCTTTAGGAAAGCTGGACTTCAGGTGTACTTGCTGAATGGTATGAATTAGTCCCTGTCTCCACCTTACCAGCAAGAAGGTGCCCTGTCCTGTTCGTCCATACCTGTGCATGAACCCATGCACTCCTGACTGCGTCTGGGTCTATTACTAGATCAGCAGCCTGGTCAAACAAGCTCGAGTTTCATTCATACTGTGACTGTGCACCACCCTGAAGCATGCATACTTTCGAAGTATTGACTCACTCCAATGGTGGTTTTTTGGACTGCAGATCTTGTCTTCTCCTATGCGATGGGAAATGAAACTTCCCTTCACATTGCCCTATCTACCTCTTTTTCCCCAGAGCGGGGAAAAAGAACAACTCCTCCTAATCTAGGTGTTGAGATCACTGGTGGTAGAATGTGAAATGGAGATTATTCTACTCCAGAGTTGGCCAAGATGATTAAAACTACTTCCTATTTTAACCTAGCCGCTAAAGACTGAAATCACCAATTAAACTCCATACTGCAATGTTTTTGGTGTATTGCTAGCGTGCTCTATGTTCAAGGTGGTGACATTGCTTTAGAGCCCGTTCTTGAGCATGGCACATATTTTATTTAACATGGGTTTCCTGTTAAAATTGATGGGAACCTCAAGAACAACTGTCTTTATAGCTGTAATGTCTAGCAACTGTAGCACTGCTGAGTCAGGCTCCGTGCCAAAACTTCTTCAAAGGCTTGAGAATAGGTGCTCCTACCAGAAATTGGCGGTGAGGAGCCAAGTGGAGGAGACTGTTCCTCGGCGAATTTATACGTGGAAGTGGAGAGAGAAACACAGGGGGCAAAGATAACTTGTTTTTTAGTAGAGATCTATTTTAGGCATTAGGCAAAGGAGACTGATCCTTAGCCTAGGTGGCATGTAACAGAGCAAATCAGGTCTTACCTCTTAGATACAATGGCCCGATCATGTGAAATTTGTACTGGCTTGGAAATGAAATTGGTATCTAGCTATGCTTTCAGTAAAACCATGTTAATGTTACATAATTACAGTGTTTTTTTTTTTTTTAAGTTATTAGTCATATGCTTTTAGTTAGCAGATTAAGCTGTCATTTTCCTTAAATTAAAATTTTAATGTGATGGGTTTTTGCTGGAATAACAAATTAAATATCCCCAGTGAGGGAAGAGTAATACTGGAAGAAGAAACTGTTAGAATATTTAACAAATGGGTAAAATAGTATCAGCCCAGCATTTATGAAAACTACAGTTCCGATAACTGTGGGAGAGGGCAAGAAGGGGTATTGAAGAGGGAAGATCTAGAATATCAAATTCCTATAGACAATAAAAAATAGAAAATCCTGTAACACACAAGCAGTGATGAAGGACTGTTCACTTTAGCATTACTTTATTGTTCAGGCCAAGGGCTAGCTTTTCAAGCTCTTGGTCTAAATATAAACCATTTGTATGTTAGAGATAAAAATTCTAACAACTGGCCATCATGCTGTCTTAAGGTTACTAATCTCTTTGCATTAACTTTAATCATCAGATGTTTTTGAAGAGAGAAGTGAGACTAATTTCCTGAGGGTTTTCTGAATCCAAATCTCATTTTTCAAATTTTGTAAATGATATGCAGAGCTGAAATTAAAAAGCCTTTGAAATGAAATATTGATAGATAAGAAGACGATCCCTGAGCTAAACAACTGTACCAATGCATACCACAACTCTTTAATATATGTTAAGTAAAGCAAATTGTTTTGTATGAAGAAATGATTTTATTTGTGTGCTTCAAATTTATTATGGAAAAGTGAGCTGAAGGGGCACTTTTACTTTGCCAAATGAATCCTAATACCCTATAAAATATCTGTGTGAAATGTGATTAATGTCAAACATGTCCCTGAAATATCCAAATGATTATAACCACATTTGTTGTGGGACTGTGTTGCCCCACTGAAAGTTAACCTTTACAGAAAAGGAGGAATTGTCCTTTCTGTTCACATAATCTGAAGCTTTCTGCAGCGTTCTGTTAGAAGCGAAGCGCAGTAGAAGTCCGGGAATCAGAGCAATGGCAAAGTCAGCCCAGCAAAGACCTGCTTCTGCTGCCCTGTGGGTAGCTGCATCTCCTGCTTGGCAGCTTTATGCCAAAGTAAAGCCCTTCAGAGCCTGGCACCTTGGGAATCTGACCTGGTTTTAGGATTTTATTCAGCATAGTGCACTCAGCCAGTGAATTTCAGATGTAAGCTGCAGTTCAGAAGATCAGTTACTGTTTTTCATTCTGCTATTATTCCTGAGGGTGCAATTGCAATGTAACTAATATGTATGCAAGGTTCTTTCCTCTCTCCGTGGATGCTTTCCTAGTAAAAGTATCTTCTCTACTAGATTCATGCCTCCACTTGGGTTTACTGTTATGACTGAGATCCATCTATATGTGTAGAAAAGCTCTCTACGAGCGCTCTGTTTAAATCTCAGGGAGAGGAATTTCCAAGAGTAGCTTCCTTGGAAGCAGGATAGAGAGAAGAAAATCAGATTTGGCCTCCTATGGACAAACTGTACTCAGACGCGATCCCGAATGATTTGCATGGGACTCTTTTCTGAAGCTTTGCTTCCAGCAGCATCATTTTCCTCAGTGACCTTCTTGTTCCTTGGTAGCTACCAGAGGTTTCTTGCAGCTGAGTTGGATCCTGCTAAAGTAAACAGCCTTGAGATGCAGTGATTCACACAGCTAGTGTTTGCGTGGGCTGAGAAGTGGTGCTGCACATCCTTCTTGCAGGTGCATCCGTGGCTGTTCCAGGAGGGGATATCCAGTCTTTGTAGCATGAAGTGTAGGATCTGAAAGTCTTGGGAGAATGGTGGAAAGAGGCTGATTGATTGGTGATTGGGAGAGGGTTGGGGTTTTGTTTTATTTTGTTTTTAAATTATTGCCGTTCAGTTGGCCCCCAGCTTTACCAAAGTCTAAAACGTCATGCGCTGGACGACACAGCTTAACAGTCTCTTGCCAATGTGTGCTATGATGCTGGTGCCTGGAAACATCCTGGCAAAGTATGGCTTACTTAGCAGAGGAACTAATTCAGTGCTGAGTGTCCATTTTGAAAAAATGTTCTTTGTATTTCAGGCAAACTTGTGCTTTGTGGATATTGATAACCATTTCATAGAACTGCCGGAAGAATTCCCCCAGTTCCCCAACAAACTGGAATTCATCCAGGAAATCTCCGAGGTTCTCCTCCAGTTTGGGATCCCCCCGGAAGGTAACCTGCACTGCAGTGAAAGTGCCACCAAGCTCAAGAATCTGGTTCTCAATGACTTGGTGAATGACAAAAAAAACGGGAACATCCCCAGCAATGCCATCAGCATGTACGAGTTGCTAAAAGGCAATGAAACAATCGCTCGCCTGCAAGCTCTAGCCAAGAGAACAGGGGTGACGGTGGAAAAAATGACCATCACAGCTCCCCTTGTGGAAAAAGAAAGGGATGTGAAGCTGCAGTGTGAGGAGGTGGAGCTGAGGGACTACAGACTGAACGTACAGCTTCGTGAGGTTTTCGCCAACCGCTTCACACAAATGTTTGCAGACTACGAGGCTTTTGTCATTCAAGCTGCACCCGATATGGAATCGTGGCTGACAAACAGGGAACAAATGCAAAACTTTGACAAAGTAAAAATAGCTACGCTTTTTATTTACTTACTTTTTTCCCTCCATCTCAAAGGGTTTTTGAGCTGGGTTGGGGAGGGAATAACTATATCATGTCTGTATTGCCTAGGTACTCTTTAATCTTCTATTCCTCATATACCTCGCAGACAGATTTGTCCATTCTGATTATACAGGGCCAGATCTTCTGCCAAAGTAAGCTGGTACGGACCCACTGAAATTGTCAGAGCTGTCCTGACCAGCACTAACTGAGTAGATGCAAAGCTGAGCCGCTGACGGGGTTTTACCTGCGGATTAGGTGGAGGGGTGGCAATAGAAAGGGACTTTTTTCTTTCTTCACGGACAGGAGAGATTCACACATAAGACAAAAAATGAATCCAGCTGTTTTTCATGTTTCTTGTTTCCTAATCTCATGGTAGAGTTTAGGATTTTGTTAATAGGTAACATTACTCCAAAGAAGGCTACCACATCGTTACGTGAGAAGACTACTGTTATGACTCCGTTGTAGTGTGTACAGAAGAGTGATAAGCAAGCTGAGATTAGAAGTGGGGAAATAAGTGGTCTGTAGACCAGCAAAAGGAATGAGAAATGTTCGGAAGCTTGCACAATTATTTTTTCTCAGTGACTTTTCGAACTAGATAGTGCTCCTAACCATCAACTCTTTTAGATACAAGTCCTGCTCTAAGGAGCATGTTCAAGGGATAAGCATTAAGGAAGGAACAGGCTAAATATCGATTTCTGTCAGTTTTTGATCAAATGCTGTGATCAAACACTGCTGTGGCTTTTTCTTTGATTGTATTCAGGTGTTGAACAGTGTAGTGTTCAAAAACAGGGAGTTGTCTATGCAGTCTCTCCTAGCACTTCTACAATAAGGTGGGCTTCTAAGGTTAGGGTTTTCGAAGCTCAGTTAGATTTAGGCACACTGCTCAATTTTTATTTGGAATTTCGTGATTAACTGCCCTTCTTAGAAAAGAGCAGTAGCTAAAGAGCATTGTATACTCTGACATCTTAATAGGTGATCCAGTTGCAACCAAGGATCAGCAGACCAGAGGTCCCAAGAAGACACAAGTGGTGGTGGTCTGCCACAGGTCCCACGCGGTCGCCTTCCTGCACGTAGTAGCTGCTATACTTCTCTGGAAATGCTCGCAGTACATGAACTACTTCCATATATCCATGTTCCCTTTACTATAGTTGTCACAAAGCCCTCCCCTGACTGCTTGTTTCTCACCACCGTGACTGAAGAGATGGCCCGTGAGGCAAATGCCTTTGTAGCTGGCTCCTGCTGTCCTCACGAGAGGTGTTTTTGTGGTGGGGAAGCCTTGTCAAAGCCTTGGCGTTAGCAGCTGCATCTGTTTTCTCCCATAGGAAGGCTTTTTGTGTTGAAGTGAAGAGGGAACGTGGCACTAATTAACTCTTCTATATTTCAGGCTTCCTTCCTTTCGGACCAACCTGAGCCTTACCTCCCATTCCTCTCACACTTCATTGAAACACAGATGTTTGCAACCTTCATAGATAATAAGATAATCTCTCAGTGGGAAGAGAAGGACCCTTTTCTGCGAGTTTTTGACTCCCGAATTGAGAAAATAAGGCTATATAATGTAAGGGCTCCTGCACTGCGAACATCCAACTATCAGAAATGCAGCACTTTAAAAGAAGCAGGTATGTTCAGCCAGGCTAATGAATTATTCAAAAGTACAATGTCAGCCACAAAGAAATATAGTTTCTCACTCATCTGAGAGTTGCAGCCAGCGAGGAAGTCCAAGAGTTGCAGCCAGCGAGGAAGTCCTAGGGTTACCTGATAAGTACTTAGCAGTGTCCTTATTTTCCCTAGGTGAAATCCTCAGTATTCTTTTAAATGCTAAAATTAGAGGGAGCCTTTTGCTCTTTCATTTGAACTCTCTTAGGCTGATGCCTTTAATAAAAACAAACCAAACCATGGAGTTGCACACTGAGACTTGCTCTTTCTCATTTCACACAACTCACGTTACTACTGCAATGAGAGCTTTCCTTCCCTTTAGTTGTTGGGCCAGCACTGCCTAGAGGGGCCGAGTCCCTGCGTCTGGTTCACTGACCTTGCTTTTTCCTTCCTATAAAAAGAACGTTTTTTTGACCTGCACCATTTGGCCAGAGCGGTGGGGGATGCCAGAGACGTAATCCTGCATGTGATCTTTAGTAGTTCCAGCAATAGAAATTCAATGTTGATGCACTATATGCTGTGTACTGAAGACTTCAATTTTTTCAGTATAGTCACAGGGCACGTTTTCAAATGATACCACAGTTTTTATTGTGAAAGTATTTACTTTGTTTCCGAGTAATTTTACTCAGTGGGATTATACTCTTAAATTTGGGTAATGTATTAATGAATTGAGGCAAACACATTTATTTTGGATTTTATTTTATTCTTTCAGAGCACTTTACTTACTACAAATGTGGCAGAAACACAAAAGAAATCTTATATCTGGCTAATTTTTCCTGTTAAAAACAATTTTAATTTCCAGGTCGACTGTCTATTCAGCGCCTACTTTCAGTAGATATTGTGGCACCGGAACCTCATATTCTGTATCGTGAGAAGCAGCAAACTGATAGTAATACCGCCTTTCCTTCGCGTTTACCAGTCACACATACAAAAACCGAGCACCAGTCCAGCACTTGTTTGTTTAACCTGCTCTTTTTGGAACCTTTCAAACCTTCCCTCCTGACGCTACCCAGGCCTTTTTAGCTTCCTCCAAAAGAAAACAATGCAAACCCTCTGCGTTTCTTATGATAATATATGTAGATTTTTGACAGTTTCTTTCCCATCATGGTTTTATAAAGTAGGTCATGGGCTCTAAGTTGTTCTTAACAAATGGAAAATGGATTTCACTTCCACATTTTGCATATTTATTCACTATCCGTGATAGGTTGAAAGAATGGGCCTGTGTGTTAATGGATGGGCTATAAAAAGTGGAATAATCAAGTTGTTAATTAAATGCCGATTCCACCATACCCCTCCTTTCCCCTGTTGCTTGCGGTGTATCTGCATCGGTGTTAAGAGGCTGACAGATTTCTTTTCAGTCTGTTAGAGATTTGAGATGAAATCCTCACATCGCTGAAGTAAATGACTGAACTCCATTAATCTCAGTGGAGCAGAGCTTTCCAGGGGACCCTCTCTGTTCCTGTCGTAGCCCTCAGGGCTTCCCAGCTTCTGTTCACCTTCGGTACCCCTCCTGCCCTTCAGGCCTTACTACAGTTACCTGTGACTTTTCAAAGCCTATCGAAGAAGGATTTCCCTTCAGAATGAGTTGTCCAGTAATAGCGTATCCAGTTGCAGGAGGAGGATCTCATAGTGGCGAGGTGTTTGCAGAATGTGGGTTTCGCTCCCCATGTGTTTGTCCGTGAAACGTTATCTCAGGCAAAGGGAGGTGCCCAGCCCTTGCGGAGAGCTGCTCGTGTCGCAACCGGCCTAAGAAGTCTCAATTTTGCAGAAAGAGCCTTAAAGCCAACCATCCAATTGCAGGAAAAGAATGCACAGATCTTTTAAAAAATATTTGTATCCATTTTGTCCAAAAAAAAAAATTTTTTTTTAAGGGTTGTCCTTCAGCAATGCATCTTGTCACCAATAAGCTCCCTTGAATAGTTGCTTGTTTAACTGCTAACTTGTTTGTCCCAATACTAATTGCATTCAGCAAAGAAACTAAAAATGAAATAACAATGCAGATGTTTCCTTACTTTTGTAAGTGACGGATTTCAGGGACTAAAATGAATATTTAACTACTTAGCTTTTAGGGATCAAGAGCATGACTGCTTTTGTTGTTGTAGCACATGTCTTCAGGTAGCTCACTAATGTGGTTGCTCACCTGTGAATATAACTTACAGCCCAATCCATTGAGCAGCGGCTGATGAAGATTGATCACACGGCCATCCACCCGCATTTACTTGATATGAAGATTGGTCAAGGGAAATATGAACAAGGGTTTTTCCCAAAGTTGCAATCAGATGTCTTGGCAACGGGACCTACCAATAACAAGTAAGCACAGTTTTTATTTTCTGGACTTGAGAGTAAGTTCTTATTATGAAAGAGCTACATCAATGAACGGCAATCCTAATTTTAATGTTTTCTGACCGATCTAATTAAACAGCAACTCTTTCCATTTCTGCTTTGTAAGAGCTGCAACTTTGAAGTTGTAGCCATAGTTTGGGTGATGCTAGAAGCTGTTAGCTCTGGTTTTGAGAAGATTCCTCAGAAATATATTCTGTTCATTTTAGTGGTAAGTACTGTGTCTTCTCATACATATTTTAAGTTTTGTCATTGCCATAACAAATTTAAAATGAATTTCTTCCTTATTAACCACTGAATAGAATAATTTGGAAACCCAAGCAAAAATCCAGATTTTGAAGGAAATCCTGATGCTGAAGCAATCACCAAGTAGAATGAAATTAATGTTCACTCTGTTCCTTTCTGTTTTTTTAACTGTTATTTCGTGGCCCAAAGATTTTTAGAATGCTCTTTCAGAGTAACCTAGAAGAATAACCCAATAAGATGGGGTAAAGTACGTGGTTTTGTATTTGGGTCACCCTTTTGAATCTGATAAGGTCCTTAGTGTATTTTGGTGTGATGGTAGGGGTACCTCTACCTGTGAAATCAAGCATATCATTACATTACTACTTACCTAATCCAAAATGAGAATCTGTAGCAACTAATATACATTAGAAAGTAAGTACTGAAAGTCACCTCCCTCTTCCCCTCCAAGCCAGGTAAGAGATTTTTTTCCCCCTCAAAAAAATGGGAGATTTGTTGTCAATGGTTACTTCGTTAAATCACTACCTCGGGCCCCAGCTTCCAGCATCGGTGGCACGTCTAGGTGGAGTGCAGATAAACCTCAGAGCTCCAAAAGCCACAGTTGTCTACGTTTTGAAAGCTAGGTCTCGTTTCAGAAAAGAGCCTGCACTCATGCTGCTTGGAGCTCCTTGAGGAGGTGCTCTGAAGGCCCACACAATCCTATTTATACATCTTCTCAGGCCCAATGCTAGCAAGTCCCATTTGAAGAACCTATTATGCATAAGACTTGGAAATGATAACATGTAGTGCTTAAGGATACCTAATTTTTAAAGGATTGCAGTTAGTTTTTGAGTTGATACCCACAAAAAATAAAAGGAGGAATGCATATTTCAGAGTTCCTTTGTTTGCAGTCGTCCTGCAAAGTCAGACTCAAACTGAAAGTTTACAGGTAATGATCCCTTGAGAGACTGAAGATTTCCTCATGGTGAGCTTCGGTTTTGCAGTACTATTAACAGTATGGGCATGCCCGCTTACTCAAAGTTACTTACATTTCTGGCTATGTTACAAAATCTTAGTGGATCTATGAATAAACATTATATGTAATATAGGCGTCTTTGTGCCTTTGAGCTGCTTCCTTTAGATTACGAACTATTCTAAAATGTGGCTTTAGCTCCTAGAGTGCTAATTTTGGTTTAGATAGCTGATTGTGGTCTTCAGGTTGCAGCATGTTTCAATTTGTAAAAACCAAAAATCCCATTACTTACCACCAAGTGATGTCAATGTGACAAATGTCTGGAATCCCTCCAGTTGTATATTGCCAAAAAGGTTTGCAATTGGAAAATCTCAAGACCATCTGTTTACATCTTTCTGCTTCCTGGCATTTTATGTGAGCAGCTGAGAAGAGTCTCTTTCTCTCTCATTTAAGACATGTAATTCTGCTGAATTTACACCCACGTTATAAAGTAGATAGCCTTTTCATGCTCTCTGCAAATATAGCGTAGTTCTTTTGACCACAAAATCAATTGAGCTACCGCCTTCCATTAATTTGAATTTCTCAGTATATGCCTCTCGGCTGTATGTTACGCTTGCAGGCAGGTTTGGGCCTTTGCGTATGGGGACGAGAGAAAGAGCAGAACATCTCAGCTGCCTTCCCAGGCACTTCAGATATAGCTGTTGTGTACGTTCGTGAGGTTAACTGAAAGGTTATTAATATAGTTTAATATGTTGATCAGAATTATTTTTGCAAACTTCGGTTTATAAAGCAAATTTTGTCCTGAATGTTTCAGGAGGAAAAAGAATTATTCCCCTGCTCCAGTCAACTTTTGTTCTGGTGGTTGCACAGTAGCAAATAAACCACTTCGAAGCTATTTTAATGAAAACCTGTCCTTGCTGGACAACGATCAGATTTTTGCTGCTTCTATTTCTGGAGAAATAAACTAACAAATATGTGTCTAGAGCTCCTAACGTTATTCAGCTGTTCCCTTCCTGTATCCAGGCAGAACCCTGGAGGTACTTCTCCCACAGTTACTCGGCTGTAATATGTATAACTTTAATATCTAGGTCAGGAATGTAACGCGAAGAACAAACTTTTTAGTTGCGTTTAGTTTTAAGCCTAGTCCGTGATTTTGGGAAACAGTGTGGCCTAGAGGACTGTAATAGGCAGAAATCCAGTTTGTAGGAGAAGGTATCTGGTCCTCACTTGAAGGGCGCAGGAAGCGGGGACAGAGACAAGGGAAGGCTTGGCAGTCAGGCTAGATCACTTCAATCTAAATGCAGCTGGAAACACGTGCCAATCACATTACCATGTGTAACTGCTAAAACACTGAAGGTCTGTTGTGCAGGTGATAACGTGTTTCACCTGTCAGCCCACAGCTGTGTGTGGCTGCGCCTTGCTCCTGTTGCTCTGCTGCCTCCTCCCAGCCCGAGACGCCCTTACAGGGCCAGGACAAGGGGTAGACCTGGGTTTGTCCTGCCTTAGTGAGCAGTACAGTTCTTGCTGCTTTTGCTCATCTGCTTGGTCACTTGTGGGTCAGGAGTGCAGCTTTTTAAAATTTGCTCCTATTTCGGCCGACTCATTCAGGCTGCAGGTGCATGCTTGGTGTTATTTGAGCTTTTCTTTACCTCCTCCCCTGTGGTGGTCAGGAAATGTCGACATATTCAGCTAGTGAAAACTTTAATGAAACTAACTTTAAACTTAACTTTACTGGAGGAAAAATAAAGGGGGGGAGAGAGAAAAGCAAATCAAAACCAACCAACCAACCCAAAACCAAAAAACCCCGTAGAACTGAAGAATAGGCTCCCAGATATGCAGTTTCCCTAATCATCTTTTTGATCAAAACTGCCAGAGCATGGAAAGACTTTATGTACAGAATATGCAGACCTAAACTTAAGCAAAAGATAATAACTATCCAAATACGTCTATAGTTATTTTAGCAGCTCTTGGTTACAAGACAAACTTGGAATATGGGAATGCATGATTTTAAATTATCTTGAAGTCTTGTCTACGCATGGACATGTGCTTGTTTAGCTATAGATATCTTAATATTAAATACCAGATGGCCAGTTCCCACCCCAGAACATTTCTCCTCAAAGTTTAAAGCAAGATCCAAAAATGGTTACGGAGATGTTGCAGGGGGTAACTGTGAAGCTCTCGGGCAGCGTAATAGCCACTGAGCTTGCATGGAGTTTGGACTTTTTGCATGTGGATGCCTTATTGCCGTTGAAAGGGTACCTGGGGTGACCAGTTATCAAGTGATGGGAAGAGCCTGCAGGCTGAATGCAACACCCAGCAGCTATGGCTATGATTTCTAGGACTGTCGCTCCAGTGAACAATGTTTTAACTGCTCTTTTCAGTCCAATGAGAGAAAAGAGCAACCCTGCCCAGCTGGTAGCCGTTAAAAGCTCCCCATGTTCTCTCATATCAGGCAGCAATGCCTCACTTGTAGGACGCGCTCTGCACTCGCTTCCTTTGATACGTCCCCGTATCAGGGGCCCAAGGACGATACTGTTCTCTACTACCTGCTGGGGAAAAGCTTCTGAATCTGCAAGCTGCAGCTGCAGATTCCTCCAGGTCCAAACATGGCCCGTCTAGCTGCTTATAAGCTCATAAAACAGTGGCTTCCACGTAAGTCCAGCTGCAAGTTGCTTTGGCGTTTTGTCTGTCAGTCTGGCGTAGGTCAGTGGTTTCCTGAGTCCCACTTTCCTTTTTCAAATACCAGCACCGCAGCGTGGCTTCCCCGTGTTCCTCCCTCCCGTCCCTGCGTGCCTTTCCCGGCGGGCTTTTAAAACCCTAACGGGGACTCTCTGAACTGATACATTTGCAATGGTTCAGGGAAGGAATCTGAATGACAAAAAGCAGAGCTACGTAAGCACTTCATGGTTTTTGATTAGCTAATTGTTAAATTACGGTGAATATGCTTACAGTGCAAAATTAAAACAACTAAACAAGCTGTGTTTTGAATCTAATTGATTACCTTGTAACTTAATTTGCACTAAGAAGCTTGATAAATGAGATTAAATACTGCAGAGGAAAACATTGATTGCGCATCAAGCATGGGAATACATTAGCATTTTGGCAATTTCTAGTGAATGCCTACAGAGAACAACCAAACTGACATTTCTTTCATTGACCTCTTCTATTTTTTGAGGGAAGGTTTTGCTTTATTACGCATTTACTAGGTGGCTTAAATTATCTTTTTCTTTTTTCTCTCTCCTTTTCTCTGTATTTAGCTCTATTTTTTGCTCTTTGTTCTCCACCTTCTCTGTCTACTCCTCATTTTCCTCCTTGCTTCGTTTCCTGACTGAAGCATTTCCTCTTTCCACCCTGGCCACTTCTCCTTTCCGAGTCCTTTCGCTTGTGTTCTGGCCCCTATGAATTTTGTGCTTTTGCCAGTCCTGTGCCCTGCCTTTCCTGCAGTCATCCTCAAACGAGAGCGCGGACCAAGTCTTTGAGCACAGATCACTCCATACGTGGCCTTCTAACCTCAGGGTTTAGCTAAGCCACCTGTAGTTGTGGCTTACCAATAAAGCCCGTTTCAGGAAAAGTTTGCTGCTTTCTCCAAGCGTTTGTTCCTGTGCTGTGTTTTGCCGACCTCACCGCAGTGTCAGTACAAGTATTTGTAAAATCATGCTTTTGGGAATCTACAAAACTGATTCGTGGCGCAGTTCATGGCATGGCTCCACAGTTGTGTAGGTGCCAGCCTGTGGCCACCGTCCCCCTGCCCCAAAATGTGAACTGCCCAGGGTTT